AACAATGGCACCAGAACATGTGGCACATGAACAACATGGGATGTGCTGGGGTATAGAGGCCAAGACAATAGAAGCTGTGTTCAGGCAAGGCCTCAAAAGTGGCAGCTCAGAAACTAGTGTGGTGGTACATGCCTGTAATCCCAGCACTCAGGAGGCTAAACCAAGAGGATCACAAGTTTGAAGCCAAACCTGGGCTACAGGTCTAGACCCTATATCAAAAAAAAATGCAGCTCAGGGAAAAGGAGCAATGCCAGAGACTCCTCTGGGACCCCAGAAAGGAAGGAATGACTAAGACTTGCATGTTCATGCACAGAGGTTGTCAAATGGAGACCTGGGCCTGGATATTAAAGTAGCTCATACACACCCATAGGGAAGCAAGAGGCCTCTGCTTCTTTCAAAGGGTCTTATATTAATTAATCCTCAGAACTCTTTATTTGTGCTAAGTAAATTAGCTGAAAATATAAATGCTTTTTTTTTTTTACTTCAATTATCTAGATTGTTTCTTCAACTATTTTCCTGGTGAACATATTGTCTTAGTCCCAGATACTGCAGAAAAGCATTTTTTCTACTGCTTCTTACACATTTATATTGTGTGTTAGCCACAAATATAATCAGTTTCCTTACAGCAGTTGTTTGAGCTAGATAAGATAAATAGAGATGATAAACACAAAGGTGCATAATTTCTAGAAGGTGTTTTCTTGTTCATGGAAGTACGTGGTGGCAATTCATCAACTGATAAAGGCTTTCCATTCCAACCTATGCTTATTTTTCCTAGGTTTAACATTTTTTTAATTTCCTTTATTCATATGTGCATACAATGATTGGGTCCTTACTCCCCCCTTCCCCCGCCCCCTCCCTTTACCCCCACCTCCTCCCTCTCGCCCCCACCCCCTCGCTTCCAAGCAGATACGGTTTTGCCCTTATCTCTAATTTTCCAACCTATGCTTTTGAAGCTATTGTTTGAATTTGAATTATACATTTGCTGTGTTGCACTTCATACAAACACATCCCAGATCATAGTTCCTTACTCTGTAATATATGTTACTATATACACTGGGCTGGCCAAGAGCCATCCTGTCTGTGTTTATATGAAACCAAACTATATTATCACAGCTTGCTTGCATGGTTATGAAAACTAGAGCTTACTCATTGCCTCCATCAGCTGTGACCCCAGTATAATTTTGTCTTTAGAAATTTCATCTGTGGTCTACCCCATTCAAAGTAAACAAACGGTACTCTACTGATGTTCTGCACTGCCTTCCCCTGTGTAGGGAGAAACCCCATTTCCTGCACTTTGTCTCCCCTAACCCATTGAGAAAGAAGCAACAGTAGCTCTAGCTGCAAAGTACTGAGCAAGATGCCAGACTCTAAGTTCTCCTCCATTAGTTATAACTACTCATGATGCAGACTGGCCATCCAATCTGACATGAACAGGTTGTATGATCACTCTACAGAGTAAGTCACCATTAGTAAATATGCTGGAGATTTGGCCATATGTCAGAGACAGTCAAGTGAGCACTCTGGGTGCCTGAAATCAGGATGTAAACTATGGGAGACAGAAGCGATGAGAGAGAAGAAGGGAGCAGAGAGAGCCAACAGGAGAAATTGGATTCATGAGGCTGACAACCCTCAGTTCCTGAGGCCCAACTGCATTCCTGAGCCTGGATTCCACTGGACACCACCACAACCTTACAACGAATTCCCCTTTTAGCTTAAGCTAGTTGAGGTTAGTTAAGCCAAAATATTTCTAATTAGCACAGGAGGTGTTGGTAGCCCAATATAAAATAAAATAGCAATAATAGGCAATGTTTTAAGAGAGAAATTTTCTAGAGAAGAAACTGAGGTCGGGAAGGTTAAGCTCTTACACCAGGCAACCTGAGCCAAGACACTAGAGTGTTGACCTACTCTGCTACTCAAAAGCACACAAAAGAAGTGCCAGGCAGATATAGGTTGGTTTCCTTGCTGTACCACTTGCCTGTGGATAACTATTTACCTGTGATTTCTTAATCTGTGAAATGGAGATGACCATAAACATAAAACAAAATTATTTAAAGGGTCAATGAGATGTCAATAACATGTCTTGGCCCAATATGTATTCAATAAAAGTTATTTCTAATCTACTTTCAGTTTTTCATTACAACTAACTGCTGTGATCAAAGCTGATAGAATATTGTAAAGAATGGTGATAACCAGTATCCTTTTGTTTTTACCGCTAAATATAGTCATCCATTGGTATCCACAGGGGATTGGTTCCAGTACCTCCCCACTGATACCAAAAAGCATGGCTGTGCAAGTCATTTACATAAAACTGCATTGTATTTGCATATAACCTACATACATCCTTCTATATACTTTAAATCATCTCTAGATTACTTATAATACCTAATACAATGTAAATTTTGTTAAACAATATTGTTTAGGGAATGGAATAATGACAAAAATGCAAATGTTTTTGTATTCTGAATATTTTCAATGATTGAAATCTGTGGATGCAGAGGGCATGAAGGGCTGACCATATATTGTTGAGGTAGATGTTATTTATTATGTTTAAAAAGCACTCTTCTATTCCTGGTTTACTACAAGGATTTTTTTTCCCCCAGAAATTGATGATGGATACTATCAAGTAACTTTCTAACCAAAAAAGAAAAAGAAAAAAAAGCCATGTGATTTTTGCCTTTTGACTTAATTAATTTTAATAATAAATTCCTAAAATTAAACATTTTGCTTTATTCTGGGAATAAATTGGTACAATTAACTCTATTATTTATTTAGGATTTTATTATGTATGAATGAGATGTCTTTAGTTTTCATTCTTGTCATTGTCTTTTCCAGGTTATGAGAATTTGAAAATTATGTCTTTAAATACATACACACACACACAAACACACACACACACACATACCCTCAACTTCAATTTTGAAGATAGTAATTTTTCCCCAAAGTTGTCTAATTTACAAGATGATACTTGGCCTATTTAAGTTATCATTTTCCTCTTCATACAATTTATAATTCACTGAGGTTTTTAATTTTAACATTTAACTTAAAGTAATATTCACTTTTAATATTTTTATAGACTCCGTATCTTCATACATTTACTACCTTCCATGATTGCTGTTTCTCTTTCCTAAGCCATTGGGGTCACCTCCAAGTCAGGAAGGCATCTCGGCCAGGCATCTCTGGGCTGATGTTTGTTCTGTTCCTTATTCATCTCAGTCATCTCCACTTGAATGGCCACACCCCCCATCATATGTTCGAAGTGTCATTTCCAGTGTATTAGTGTACAATATTGGCATGAAAGTAAGCAGTGTTTTTATACACATGTTGTTGCCATGTTGAGGACAGGTCAGCTATTACTCAGGAAAAGCTCTGAAGGATAAAGCATTGGTGGGCACCCAGGCCACATAGACTACAAGACATTTGTCTCACTAGCCTCTTCTTCCACAGTGATTTCATTGTACTTTCACTGAGGCTCTTTTTGCCTCTTGTCTCTTCAGAGTCAATAATACTGACAATATCAGCATGTTATTCCATTAAAAATAATTGACTACTTCAAGCTTATTCTATGGAATCAAATAATCTATTTCACTTTTTATAGTGTTTACAGAGTAGAGAATCTTTTTGTTAGCATATATTAATTGTACAAAAGGATATCAACATGCACATAATGTGCTGTGATCGAAATCACCCTTTCTATTTCTCTTTATTGTATCCCTTTTCTTTTTTTAACAATCCTAATGGGTTTCATTATTCTAATTTCATACATGCATATAAGATACATCGATCATATTCACACATACCCTCACTTTTTGCCCTCTTCATACTATTGGTTATCCCTCCCCAGCAGCCCTTCTTTTACATTCATGTCATTTTTAATAGTATTTTGGGTTTAGGGGGTAATATTGGAAATTGAACCCAGGGCCTCACACATGCTAGCCAAACACTTGAGCCAGGCCCTCAGCCTCAGAATAGAGAATCTTTTGAGTCTAGAAAGAGCCTCATCAAAGGTAATGAAGATGAGTTAGTTGTAAATTTCAACAGAAAGTTACTAAGAAAAGTCTCCACTAGTTCCATGATTAGATGAAAACCCAGTTAGATGGGAGAGCCCAGTTTTAGAAGTAGGTGCAGAGATAAGCAAGGCCCACATGGTGAAGAAACCACAGGGTGCCAGACCAGGCAGACAGGAAGCTGGCTTAGAAGCAAGACAGTGACATGACAAGCTCCAAGCCTCAGCATAAGCCATTCACCAGCAAAAATTCCAGGAAGTTAATTGCATCAAGAAGGATTGAAATCAGTAGAGGCCCTTATCTGGAGGTGGCTAGGTCTGCATGGTCAGTTTTTCCCAGCAAAGACCTTGTTCTTCCTTGTGTGGGACTGGTGATACTGATTAGTGATGCTTTCTCAGCTTATCTCCCGTCAAGTTGTGATGGCATGTAACTCTTACTCACCAATGAATATGTGATTCATACTCAAGTCCTCCACCACCCAGCATGGACCTTATAGAATACTTCAGTAGCTCAGAAAGCTTTTTGTGTCTCTGAGTCCAGGTTCTCACTGGGTTCAATGTGGACTGTGTATTTCAGATTGTTGCATTCTAACTCAGGATTCTTCTTCAGTACTCATATTCCCAGGTCTGAGAAGAGATTCTGAAAAAAATGACTTAAGTCTGGTACATGGGTGAGAGGAGGTTTCCTTTAATACATACCAAGCACATTAGCATTGTTCATGGTGACAAATAAGAGGGAAGAGAATGGATGCCTCCCTTGCAGCATTAATGGACAAATAGATTTAACAGCTTAAGATGAATATATTCAGGAACATATCAAATTAAACTGGGGTATAGCTCAGGGGTAGAATACTTACCTAATATATGTGAAGCCCTGAGTTCAAGCCCCAGTACAACAACAACAAAAGTCTGAGAAACACATCAAATCAAAATGTGAATTAAAATTTTTAACACTGTAAATTCCACTGTCAATTTCTCTGCCTTGTCTGTGTTCCAGGTTCAGGTTTAGTGGTCGTATCCTAGGCCTGGCTCTGATCCATCAGTACCTTCTGGACGCTTTCTTCACGAGGCCCTTCTATAAGGCACTCCTGAGGCTGTAAGTGTATTGTAGACCAAGGTTCCATCCAACCTTGTCTGCAGGATCACAACACTGGCCTTTGTAGCCAGTCCCTGTTTTGCCCCAACCATTCCTTTTAGGTTTCTGCCAGTCTTCTGTTCTATGTGTTTACATATCACAAAATCTTTTAGTGCAATAAAAGGGCACTGGAGATTTCATGTAGGCATAGGGAATGTTCTGTTAGCAAAACATCATATAATGGCCATGAATCAGTTTATACAAAATTATAATAATATTATAAATATTATATTAGACTATTAAGCAGAAATTATTTATAACTTAGTTGATTTAAAGAGAGTTCATGAGTCAATAATTATTTCATGTTTATAACTAAATATTTTAATAATTCCTTTTCAAAGGAAAATTATTGAATGATTTTATTTTGATTTTATAATTATTGAATTAATTATAAAATGATTACATATACTGGCTTATCAGTATATTCAAAAGTATCAGTTGGTTAAAATAAGACTGACATTTTAGCCAGGAGTGGCAAAAGCCACATTTGGAAATGAGCCACATTTTGTTTAGTAATTGTGTTTGCCTTGCTCCTTTTGAATTCACTCAGGCCCTGTGATTTGAGTGACCTGGAATATTTGGATGAGGAATTCCACCAGAGCTTGCAGTGGATGAAGGACAACAACATCACAGATATTCTTGACCTCACTTTCACTGTTAATGAAGAGGTTTTTGGCCAGGTTTGTGTGTTGGAAAGAGATTTTTGGGGTTTTATTGTGAAAAAAGCCCATAACATTAAATTTACAATCTTAACCATTCTTAGTTGTACATTTCAGTATTATTAGTATATTCACATTCTTGGACATCCAAACTCCAGAACTTTTCATCTTGCAAAACTGAAGCTATCCATTAAACAACCTTTCATTTCTTTCAAACCCTGCCTCCAGCTCCTGGCAACTACCATTCAACTTCTGTTTCTACAAATTTGTCTACTCTAGATAGTTCATATAAGTGGACACATACTACATTGTCTTTTTGTCACTGAATTATTTTTCTTAGCCTAATATCATCAAAGTTCACCTACATGGTAGGCTTATCTTCCTTTTTAAGGTTGAATAGCATCCCATTATAGGTATATGTTATATGTATGTGCTGATTTTGTTTATCTATTCATCTATTCATGATGGATACTGGGTTCCTTCCATTTTTTGGCTGTTGTGAATAATGCTGCTATGTATGTGGATGAACAAATGTTTGTTCAAGTCCTACCTTTCAGTTCTTTTAGTTTATTTGGCTATGTGTAATCCCAGAAATAGGATTGCTAGATCCTTGGATCACATGGTAAGGGGATTTTATTTTTAAACTAGAGAACAGGAAATCTTACTCATTCAAAATATGATTCTCTGGGGACTATGTCCTTTAATAAATTTGCCCATGTCCTCTTCCTTGTTTGTTTTTTTTTTGTTGTTGTTGTTGTTGTTATGACATGGCTTTACTTTATGCAGTTTTTTGAAAATCAAATGTGATAATGAATAAAAAAGCATCTTTATAAAGTATACCTTAATGTGTAAGGTATATCTATGGTCTGCACAACTACAAAAATAGTTCTTTTCATCATATCCAGATCCTCATCCTCCATAATGCATAGATCTCAATATTATTGAACAAGATAAAGTTTCCAGTTTGTTTTCTACTGTCATCTATTTATATAACATTAAATCTTCTGAACAAATGGGCTACATTTTTTTTTAACAAATAGCCCTAACCTGAGCAGATTTATCAATTAAGGCTTTGAGAACATCATTTACAAGAGACTCCAAAAGCCCATAATGTGGACATTTGTAATAGGATTGTTGTAAGACTTAAGTTGGGATACTTCACAAGTACCTTGCATGAATGTGGAGTGTTCTGTGTCTATGGGTGAGAGTTACACTTGGAATGCTATGGACCCACATCTTAGTCAAGAATCTCAGATAGGTCCTGGAATAGTGGTGTCCTGTGTGGCTATTGAAAAGCAAGAGGCACCCAGCCCATTAATTTACATATTAAGTTATAAGTAATAACTAGGGCATAATAATCATAACAAAGAAATAATAGGCCAGATCTAAATTGCATAAAACGGTTGCCAAAATATATTTTGAGGGAAAAAAAAAAGGACAGTTAAAAACAGTACATATGCTACTATTTATGGGGAAAAAAAATGATCTGACATATATTACCCAGGATATTCATAGAATCTCCCCGTCAGGGAAGTAGGGATGATTTTCTCCAGACAAGGAGATAGTATGACTGGGAAATGAAGTGAGAAAGACAGCTACTTTTAATTTTATTCTACTTGAATTTTATGCCATAGACACATATTATCTACTTACAAAAGTAAACTACAAATAACTGAATACACAAAGTTAGAGGGAAAAATTACTGTTGATGATGCAAAAGAGCAATCCTTTTATATGTGTCAGGTGTAGACGCTGAATAACACAGACAAAAGTTTAAATGTTCCCAATGACAAAAGTAAGGATGTGTTGTAAATCTAAAATAATGTTTATCTGTTTAAAGTTCTTCCTTTTTCTCTTCAAAAGGAGGTCACCAAGGACAATACATTTGGTTTTACAAAACTGAACTCAGCCTTCCTTTTGACAAGTCAATAGCAGAGAGCAGATAGATAGATGCAGGTGAAAAGACACCTTAGGCTTTTTCTTAAGTGTGTCAGTTAGGATTAGGTTCGGCTCCTGGTGAAGAAGCCCAACATAAGTCTGCTGGAATTATCAGACTTTATTTTTCTCTCACTTAACAGTGTGGAAGCAGGCAAACCAAAACTGATTTGGAAACTGTGTTATGAATCCTTAGGGACCAGGTTCCTTCTAGTTCTCACCACTGCCCAGATAAGAATGGAATCAACCATCATGTCCACATCCAAAGCAGTAGGACAAAGAAACACCCAGCCCCTCACATTAAGGAAGCCTCTTGAAAGTGCCAGACCATACTTCTGTCCAGGATTTAATTACATGTCATACCTAGCCGCAAAAGAGGTTGGGAAATGAGTCTTTAACTGGGTAGCTACAAACTAAAAGTTCTAAACAGTGGCAACTAGTATTGTATAATTGGCCAATATTTTATAATTAGCACTGGGCACTTAAGTGATGGAAGATAAAGTAATCAGATTGCATGTAGACAGTTTTATTTAGGTATCTGTGTCCACAGTCCACAAGGCCTGTGCCTACTAGTAGCCAAGTAGAGTGACAGCTTATTCGCCTTATAGCATTAGCTGTAAGGTGAACCTTAAGTGAATTTGAGATGACTAACAATTACCCCCACCAAACACCAACACATCTTGATAAAAATGTCTAATATATTGCTTACTTTCTTTACCTTTGCAAAAAGCATGCAGTTACTAATTTTCCTGGCTGATGTAAGCTTGTTACAAACACACATCACCACACTAAGTGGCAAGGCCATTCTCTGTGTGCTTCTGCATGTTGCTGCTTTCTTTCTCAAGCTCAGACTGCCATTCCACAGCCACTGTCATACCCAGCTGGGAAAAAACATCTGCCCACCCGCCTTTGTTTTGTTTCCTCTGCTCTGCTGTAGAGGGATGCTGTTAGGAATTTGCTCCAGTTGAGATTGGGAGCATCAAGCATCAGACTGCAGTGTTGGGACATTCAGATCCACATGAGGGACAACCTGGGGCATTTTATGGGAGTTTTACCTCTTGAGTTAAAGAATAAAATAAATACATATATATATTAACTCTTCCAGGGTACTCAACAATCTACTTCAAACACCCAAAGCCTTCCTAGTAAGTAGGAAGGAAAAAGAACTAAGGAGGTAACAGTGCTGAATCTGTGTAAAGAGAATTTTCTACATTGTCACCCTTCCAAAATCAAAATGTCTCCCGGAAGACAAGCTAAATTGACAAGCATCATAATCTACCTGTTTCTCTACAAGGTAACAGAAAGGGAGTTGAAGTCTGGAGGAGCCAACACCCAGGTGACTGAGAAGAACAAGAAGGAGTACATTGAGAGGATGGTGAAATGGCGGGTGGAGCGCGGTGTGGTGCAACAGACTGAGGCACTGGTGCGAGGATTCTATGAGGTAAGGCCCTGGCTGGGCTGAGGAAGGCTGGCCATCGTCTGTCCCATTCCCAGATCTTTGTCCTGGGACCTCTGCAAATTGAGGCTCCTTGGAAACCAGCAACTCAGTCAGTTAGAACAGAAAGAAGCAAAGCAGGCAGAGCAATCAACTGTCCTCCCCAGAGTGCACAAAGGACCTAGCTGGGGTGGAAAGTTGAGGGACTAGAGTTCTCTGGGAAATTAAAAATGCTCTCAAAAAAATGGGCATTGGTGTGGCCCTGGTGTGTCAGATGTAGAAACATGTAGATTCTCTTTAAAAAATTTGTGGAAGTGGTGTTTTCTTTGGTTCACTGAAATGAAAATCCTGAAGTAAAGGCATTGGAAGGTGTTGTCCACTCTTGTTGAATTTTAATTTTGTTACATCACTTTGTGATGCATAATCCATTGTGAGAAGTAAATCAAGACAGGGACAGCCAGGCGCTGGTGGCTCACACCTGTAATCCTAGCTACTCAGGAGGCAGAGATCAGGAGGATCACACCGCAGTTCAAAGCCAGCTCAGGCAAATACTTTGTGAGACCCTATCTTGAAAAAAACCCTTCACAAAAAAGGGCTGGAGGAGTGGCTCAAGGTGTTGGCCCTGAGTTTAAGCCCCAGTACTGTAAAAAAAAAAAAAAGACAGCTGCTAAATTTCCTGTGTACAAATGATATCCTTACACTTTTCCAGTTAGAAATAAGAAGATATAAATGTTTTTTTCAAGTCTGCCCCTGACAAAATGGGCAAGAGCATTGACCTCTGTTCATCCATCACTAGTTTGATTAAAGGAGGCACCACAGCAGATGTTCAGTTGAGCCTGGCACATTTGGCAGGAAATGTAAAGCCAGAGTACAGAGCTCAAACAAACAGGTCCTTCCAGATATTTAAGAAAGGGAAAGAAGAAAGAAGGAATGAGAGAAAGGAAGGAAGATATAGTAATGTTAATATATAATGAACCAATCATAGGAAATGAGTCATAACTTTTTGTGAACAAGTAAGTACATATTAAGTATAGCAAAAATTATTGTCTCTTCAAAGAGATTTTGACTTTTTGCCTTTAAAGTGCCATGTTATAGACTGGTGGAGTGGCTCAAGTGGTACAGACTGTCTAGCAAGTATGAGGCTCTGAGTTCAAATTCCAGTACTGCCAAAATATAAAATAAAATAAGATGTCATGTTACCTGAAAACTTATGTGTGATTTCAAAAAGCCAAGTCATGATTGTTTGTAACATCACTCTCAGAGAGGGTGTTTGAGTTGGTGATAACCACATGAGATTTTTTTGTGCGTGTGTGTTTCCCAGCCCATGAAAGGTTGGCATTCTAAACTGACTGTCCATTCAGGCTAGTATAACAAAATACCATGCACTAGATAGCTTCTAAACACCAGAAATCCATTCTTACAGTTTTAGAGGCTGGGAAGTCCAAGAACAAGGCACGAGCTGATTTGATGTCTGATGAGAGCCCACTTTCTGGCTCACTGAAAGCAGCTTTTTGACAGGTCCTCACTGGGTAGAAGAGGAAAGAGTCTCTCTTTTGCCTTTTAAATAAAGGCACTAACCCCATTCATGAGAGTTTTACTCCATGACCTAATCACCTCTCAAAGACCCCCACCTCCTACTCCCATCACTTTGGAGGTAAAGACTTCAACACATAAATGGGACAGGGAACATAGACATTCAGACCACAGCAGTGATTTTTAACTTAAAAAGTGATTGCATGTTGCTAGCCAGAAACTGGTGGCTCACACCTGTAATCCTAGGCACTCAGGAGGTGGAGATAAGGAGGATCGAGGTTCGAAGCCTGATCCAGGCAAATAGTTCAAGAGACCCTATCTTGAAAAAATGCATCACAAAAAATGGCTGGTGAAGTGGCTCAAGAGCACCTGCCTAGCAAGCATGAGGGCCTGAGTTCAAACCCCAGTGCCACCAAAACAACAACAAAAAAATGATTGCTGGTTACAAAAAAGAAATTGCAAATAGTGGTCAGTTCTCCAGTTTAACCCACAGAAATAATAGTAATGAATATAACCTTCATAGGTGTATGGGCCTCTGTGCTGAAGCTAGTCTGTATTTCAGGTTGTAGATTCGAGGCTTGTCTCAGTGTTCGATGCCAGGGAGCTGGAGCTGGTGATAGCTGGTACTGCAGAAATTGACCTTAATGACTGGCGGAATAACACAGAATACCGGGGAGGTAAGCTAGCAGCAGCGGTGACAATGCAACTGTCCCAAATAGATTTGATTACTTTAAAAAATTGTTTTGTTGGGGTGAAATTGACATAACATTAACCATTTTAAAGTGAACAATTCAGTAGTATTTAGTACCTTGATAATGTTGAACAATCACAACTTCCAACTACTTCTAAAACATTTTCATCACCCCAAAAGGAAACCCTGTACCCATTAAACAACTCTTCTCTCTCCCCAGCCCTGGGTAACCATCAACCTATATTCTGTTTCTATGAATTTACATATTCTGGATATGTTTTCTAAAAAGAACCATGCAAAATGTGGTTTTTTTGTGACTTCTTTGATTTAGCATACTGTGTTGAGATTTATCTATATTATAGCATATTTTAGTATTTCATTCCTTTTTATGGCTGAGTAATAATCTGTCATATGTATATATAATTCACCAGTTTTGTTGTTGTTTGTGATATTGGGCCTTGTGCTTGCTAAACAAGTTCTGTACCACTAAGCTACATCCCTAGCCCAATTCACCACTATTTGAAAGACTTTGTCCTTACTTCAGTGCAAAGTAGGTAAGTGTTCAGCTTTCAACCTGAACTTTCCTTCAGATAACTGTAATCCCTGGATTAACTTTGTAAACACTTACAGAAAACACTCCATCCAGGGACCAGCTCCCAAGTAGCCTGCATGTTGTCAGGGAGGCATCTCTTGCTTACTGTTGAGCTTTGTCTCATCCTAGTTTGCTGCCACAGTGTTCTAACTGTGATCTCTTTGAATCTAATTTCTAATCCTTCTAAATGTTCACCTTGTATGATGCCAAACTAGCCATCCAAAAAAATCATTTTCATCAAGCCACTTCCCTCCCACAAAACAACCTCCTTATTTCAGAAGCTTTACCAAGATTTTTTTAAAGCCTCAAACCCTTCTTTCCTATAAAATATCACATAGAAAGCCCAGTAAGTATAACAGAGAGAGAGTTAGGGGCATGAGATCAGCCTCCTTACCCCCCAGGATACTCAACCACAAGAACCTCCTAGTACCGCTAGGCTGACCTGATGTGAAAGCTACTGCCTGAGCTGTTGAGTCAGAATGTCTCTGCTCACCTATTAAGGCTGCTAATGGATCCAACTTTCCTCTCCATTCTCATCGCATTCCCCTCTATGCTAGCCACCTTCCTGTTCCCTGCATGTTTTGCTCATTCTCATTGTTCTGTATTACCTCTGCCAGAAGTATCCTCTCCCTTTCTTCCACTTCCATAAATTCTCCACATGCTGAGCTCATACTCCACTTCCTTTAATGAAGTTTTCTCAGTTTCTGACCCAGCCCATACAGTTTTCTCCCACGCATTGACCCCTTGCATTTGTGATGAATCCCTTGTCTTAGCTGATCCATCCATGCTTGGTCTTTGCAACTGTACTGTGAGGGGGACAATACATTTTCCATGGGCCTTACATGTCTCAGCTCAAGGCTGGCCTGAGAGTAGCTCCCAGCCCGGGCATGACCTGAAGAACATCTGCATCATGGGTGCAAGGTTTCCTTTCGGGGGGGCTGAATCTTCAGGCTTTCTGTTTACCTTCAGTCTTTCTCAAGTCCTAGACTCTCCCAAGATATGTAATTGCCACCAGCTAAGACATCAGATCAAAGAAAGCATAATGAAATACTATATTTATACAAGTCTATCTCAGCCAAGTCTTTCTATTCCTTAATTATACTTATATAAAACAGGAATATTTCAAGTGTGTCTCAATTGTTTACACATGTCTCTGAAGACATCTCTTTGACTATATAGTTCTTTTATAAAATAGCTATTTTCTAAATCTGCTTTTGTTTTAAAACTTGACCTACTTGGACAATTGTTTTAGATCTACCTATTTGAAGACCATTATTAAAAATTAGCAGACCCAAAGCTGTTCAGTTAACAGACCTTGTGTGTGTTCCATTGTCTCCCCTCTACTCCTTTCTCCTTTTCCTACATCCTTTCTTTTTCCCTCCCTTTGTTTCGATCAGGTTATCATGATGGGCATCTTGTGATCCGCTGGTTCTGGGCTGCAGTGGAGCGCTTCAATAATGAGCAGAGACTAAGATTACTTCAGTTTGTCACGGGAACTTCAAGTGTGCCCTATGAAGGTTTCGCAGCCCTGAGAGGAAGCAATGGGCTTCGGCGTTTCTGCATAGAAAAATGGGGGAAAATAACATCTCTCCCCAGGTATAGAGAGCTTTGTTAACCTTCAAGAAACTCACTGAAGAGGGCAAAACCATACTTTGCTATTTGAGTTGGGTGATTATTTCTTGAGAAGGTATTCTTGCTTGTCATCCAAAATATTGTTATTTGAGTTATGAGTGAAAAGGAATAGGTGAGCCATTTCTGAGACTTGGGTTGAGGCTATTTCCTTAGTATTGTATTTAGACTGTAATGTCAAGGTCCATATGTCAGTCATGGGACCATTTCTAATCAGTACATAGACCAAGGTAATTTAATGAGGAATGTCTAACATGGGGGAGGGAGTCAGCAAGGACATTAGTGCAAAGATGCTAGAAGTCCAAAATAACCCTTCTAGTACCATAACATACATCTACAGCATATCACTTCATAGAATAGTTACATATTGATCTATGCAGCATATTTTTTCTACTGAATTTTAAAATGTGAGGAAGAGACCATGTGTATCCCTGGGCATGCCCCCAATGACCTCCCACTAGGCCCTACATCTTAAAGATCCCATTACCTCCCAGTAGCACTACTCTGGCAAGAAAATAAGACTAAGAAGGCAGAATTTCCACTCATCTAGTCTAATGATCGATTTTGAGAATGAATTTATTTGAGAATATTCTGCTTTTATTTTAGAGAAATGCAGTTTGAATCATCACTTGATGATAGCCTGTAGCCTGCAGTTTGAGGAAGGGTGAGATACAACAAGATATCTGCTCATAGGAGCCGACAATCTAGGGAGAAACACAGACTGATGATAACTAATTACAGCTTAAGAGTGTGCCAGGGGAACTCAAAGAAGTGAAAGCAACATGCTGTGAGAATGTGAAACAGACTTAATCCTGATTGAGCTGCCCAGAAAAGATGCCACTGACATTTGGGTGAACATTAGGAGGCAAGAGAAGGGAGCAGGGTAATTCCAGGCCAAGGGAGCACCACAAGCAAGGCCTCGGAGGAGAAGCCACCAGCATGTGTTCAGGAAGAAGGGCCAAGCTGGCATGGAGGGTAAGATATTCCAAGAGATGCCATAGGAGATGGGTTTGAGAAAGTTTGGTGGTCCACCAGGGAAAGACACTTCTAAGGAGTCTGTTTTATTCTTTAGGAAATAAGTCATTGGTTTTGTCATTTGGGGGACATAGACTTGTGTAATTTACATATTTGCTTTGGAAACTTTGAAATATGCATTAATATTGTTTGCACACCCAAAGAGTTCTTAAAGACATTGGGATTCTGAACAGGTTCTTTTCACATCTAGCCAAGGCACCCCCAAAAAGCCACTGTGATGCAAGCTCTGGAGATGGTTTCTTAGAGGACTTCACTCTGGGACAGGAGGGCTCCACAAGGCAAATGCCTCTGAAAGGACAGTGAAAATGACCCACTGAATAGTCACCCCTGACCAGGCTCTCCTGTTCAGTCTCTGAAAATCCAAGAACCTAAAAAGTGCTACCTATGTGTAGAGAGAGAGAGACATAAAATCTGGCTTCTCAGAACTATAGTTCAAGAAGTCCTGGACAGCCACCTAGCAGGTTTTCCATGGCTGCAGGTGCTCCTACCCCACACCCAGGAGAGGTGATCCTGATCTGCTCTTTCTGCAGATCTATCCTCCACAGAAAGATAATGCAATTGGCTTTCCAGATGAACATGCCATGTAGTGTCATAGCAAAACCCTGATCACAGCCCAGGCTAAATAAAGCCTTTAAGTCAGTCCAAGTCCTTCCCTTCTAAAAAAGATTAGCAAAAATGATTTTGAAGGTAGTGGTTTCTAGGATATAATTTTACAGTGATTGGTAAAGAAACTTTGTATACCACATCGGCTAAAGTAAATGAGAGATGGTACTGTTACTGGGATGGAGGTCATGGGTCTGGGAGGCTAGGGTGTTAAACCCATCACCTATGTGATGGGTCTGGAAGGATGAATTGAAATGAAAAGGAAATTCAAGCTAAGTGCCACTTTATTTTGGTTTTGTTGTTGATGGTTTTGATTTTTGGCTTTGTCTTTGTTTTTGTTTTTTGAGACAAGTTTTGGCTATATAGCCCAGGGTGGCCTCAAACTTTTGATCCACCCCCCTATTGCCTATCTAATGCTGAGATTGTTAGCATATGCTATTATACCTGGTGCCAAAGATTTTAATAAATGTAATTAGTTACAAGTTCAGAGGGTCAGAAGGAACAGAATGAATGTCTACATCACTTATTTTCATACCTTTCAAACCACAGTCCACAGAAATACCCTATACATCACCACCCATTGCATGAATATGTACTCATTTGCATACATATATCTGCATATCTAAAAGATCCTTAAAACAAGATTTTACCCTTATTACTTGTAGTACACACTACTTTCTACCCTATTTATTTCATTAAAATAGAATGCCAGACAGAATCTGTGGTCTTTAAATTTATATATTTACCTACATATAGATATATATTAATGCCATAAGAGTCAAAGGAACACAAATTTTTGATAAATGATTGTAAAGTTATAATCTGGAACTGACAGAACATTACAGAATATGGACCATTGGGCAGTTTCCCCTGAGGACATTCCTTGCTTTGAACAAATGGTCAAGAAGGTACAGAGGGAAAGTATGGAAGAAAAGGAAAAAGAAGCATAGATACTAGCTATGATTCACAAGGTAGGAGTAGGGAAGGCAATTTTTCAACCTCCATGGAACATCTGGAAATATCTAAAGATGCTTTTGATCTTACAATGCACAAGATAGCCTTCACAACAAAGAATTATCAAGTTCAAAATGCCAATAGTGCTGAGGTGAAAACCCTGCTCTGAATTCTGCTAAAGCTAGAGGAGGACTGAAAAAGGAGGTTTGAGAGGTCTTCAGGCAGAGAAAATGGCAGCCCTTCAGAAGCCAAAAACAAAGCAAAATGAGAGAGATGTACAAGAGGAAGAGCTGTCAAATGCTTTTAAGGAGTTTGAACAGAGAAAAATAGAGCCTAAATAGGAACTTGGGGATCAAGAAGTTTTTGGCAAACTCAAAAAAGAGTCAGTTCAGCAGGGATGATGACAAGACCCCTCTGAATGAATGAGGCTGTAGTTAAACAGTGGGACATTGGCATAAGGAAAGAAACAACTTGCATAGCTGGCCTCAAAACTGGCTGTGCCTCTTTTGTTTTTGAGCAGCCTTAAAGTGGTCTCTAGTGGACAGGAGCAAGACTTTCTTTGGCACTTTATTAATATTTTGATGAATAACTTAGAAAAACTAGAGGAGACAAAAAAATAAGCTATGGAAATGACATAGATTAGAAGGGTAAATAATGCACTGAATGGCACAGTCCAAATCCAAAATTATCCCAATATTCCACAACCCTAGGTTGACATCAACAGAATAAAATTTAACCTGATGTGATTAAAGATGAGAGTGATTCACTTGCCAGTCAGTAAGTCATGTGAAAAAGGCCGGGGTCTTAAGTCACCATAAGTATAACACAGTTCCTAAAATCATTATCACAATCATGGCTGCATAATTAAGAGAGTCTTATGTTTAAATGATGACTCATGGGATTATGAAAGCATTTATGTGCATTCCATCATCAGTTTACCCAATAACCCTCTGAGGTCCACACAGCATGTATTATTATCCCCATTTTACAAGTGAGAAAACTGAGGCTCAGAAGGATTGGCTGACTTACCCAAGGTCATAAAAGTGGTAAATGGTAGCCTGGAAGTCTTCCAAGTCCTGGCTTACTACCCAACACCTGCCTGGACACTCTTGGTCCAGCACACAGGCAATGAGGCAAACAAATGCTCTGTGCTGTTGGAGCCATTCCTAGAGAGTGGTGAGCACATAGGAATGCTGGATCCAATTGTGTCTTGATTGTGCTTATTCATTCTAAATGACTAGACTATCTACGGGAGTTAACCAAGGCTGTTGATAAATACAGTGGAAGCAGCTAGAAAAGAAACTGGGCATTCCAACTAAGTGCTATTTGCTAATACCTTCTCTTTAGTCCCACAAATTATCTTTTATAGGATTAATTTGGTTCCAACTAATTTGTAAGTATGAGGGGTTTTTTTCCATAATAGTTCCACTCACAAGGACTATTAAAACGAACAAAAGAAAACTGAGATGTCTGCTCACATCTTACTCATGACTAATGCACCTAGTTCCAAAAGCACACTTGGGATTTTTCTGCCCTATTTAACTTGGTTAGCCATAGCCCTGTGTATGTTCTAGTTTCAGACTTTGCAAGCATGCAGAAGAATCACTGTAATCGTTGTCCTACTCTATTTAGTGACTTTGATTTCACTTTCACTCAAATACTCTGGTATTAGGTAAAATATTTCAATTATTTTCTTTTGAAGTTAACCTGTTCAAATCTTAGATAATTATCACAGAATTCCACTAATCTCAATTTTTATGTTTCTCCCCAGTTAAGTCCTTAAGACCTAAGACCAGGTACTCTAAGATTCTGTGCCTGCCCTTGGAGATGTAGAGGGGAAGAGGGCAAGGATAAGAGGCAGGAAGTGAGGTATTATTCCCCAAAGACAATGAGGAGGCTATTACCAGAAGGAAGAATAGGAAGACAAAACACCAGCATCCTCCCCAAATTCTCCCTGTGCAAGAAGCTCTACCTTCCCTCTTCCCTCTTCTCTCCTTCCTTATTTCGCAAATAATCTCCCTCATACTGAGTGCTGCAGCAGCCTGCACAGTGGACTGGTACTCTCATATAATTCAAAATGAAGGGATCTTTTAATTAAAAGAAGAGCCTAATTTTTCAAATAAAATTCTGACAAAGATAATTCAGTTTTGTTTGTGTGTATGTTTGTTTTGTGATTTTAAGTCTCCTTTTCTGTGCTGGTTGGTGTCTCTAAACACCATTTCAACACACCACTCCTGTAGGGAGGAAAAGGCATAAAATTAATTTCCAGCTGCACCCATCAACCTTACTCCCCACTTTTGGCACAGAACTGGCATCAATGAAAGTTTCCATAGAAATAAAAGAAGCAACTAGTTAGGTGATGTGAAGTGCCTGGAGGAACTCTGTATTGTGCCTCTTGCACTCCCTGCTGGAAACCCACATGGGTGTTTTCAGAACCTGTGTTAGGAATGTGGCGGGAAAAACATTCCTGGTCTAGGCAGACCCCAACAAGAGTGGGTCTACGAGATGAAGCACAAACCAAGTAAGGCAGAACCTGGAGAAGTGGTATGAAGATGCCCCAGGCATGGAGGAAGGGCTGTCTCACAAGTCAGGCTTTTCTTGGAAATGCAGCACTTTGGTTTCAGGTGATGTGTGTTGCACTGCAGCAAAGGATTGTGACTTGTCTGTAGGACACACCTGACTTGAATGGGGAATTGAATCTCAGAATTCCAGAGCATTGTGGACGCCTTCAAGTAAATACACGTGATATACAGAGCCCAGAAAATCAGATCTAGGCAAGGAGACTTAGGAATATGCCCCTATAATGTTAATATATTTCTGCCTCCTTCACTGACTGTGTTTAAGTTCACATTTCAATTGAAAAACCAGGCTAATAGCTTAGAGTTGATCACTGGTTTGTTAGAGTAGCTCCAGTGTAGTATAGATTGCTTACAAAAGCCAACCAACCATGTCTAGTCATTCCATTCCCTCAATTAACCTATTCACATCTAGAAAGCTACAGTTTATCATTTGCAATGTTTTGTGGTTGTCCTAAATCACAGTGCTGCTCACTTTTGATTCCTTTTTGAAGTCATAGATATATCACCATGAGTTGTATCCTCGAAATACTCTCATCAATATTTTCTCCCCCATTCAGGGCACACACGTGTTTCAACCGATTGGATCTTCCACCATATCCTTCATACTCCATGTTGTATGAAAAGCTGTTAACAGCAGTAGAAGAAACCAGCACATTTGGACTTGAGTGAGGAAATGGTACATCACCTGACATTGTTCTGGCCAGTGACATCACCCTTTCTGGGATGATCCCCTTTCCCTTTCCCTAAATCAACTTTCCTTTGATTTTGGTATTCTATGATTTTTATTTTCAAACCAAATAAGGATTGACAAAAGCTGTGCATGAAGAACTGCCTTCTTCTAAGATCTAACCTTCAGGCTTATCTCCTCTGTTTCCAATGAACTGCCAGCCTGTATGCAATATTTAAAACAGCTGTCTCAAGGTCTGTGCATATCTCCACATACCTCCATTACTAACAATGAAATACAAATGCAAGTTATGCTTCATTTGACCAAATGGTAATGTTTACTTCCATTTCTATCACTTAAGGGAAATTTGAGCAGTAAGCATTCCAAGCTTTTATATGCCCATGTCTTCTGAGTAGACCCACCATTTTTTTTATAATTTCTAACAACCAACTCCAGATGTAGGAGCTGATCAACTCTTTGTTTTCCTCATGCTCTCCTTTCCCCATGTACATTCAATCCATCCAAAGGACAGCAGTGGCAAAACTGAAATTTTTCTACATTTGACTTGTGATTCATAGATGGCATCAGTCCCATCAGCTGGACTAGCCTAGAAATATGGTGCAAATATGACACTTCCAACAATTAACAACAGCAAGAAAAACATGTCCTACTGATGTGACCCAGTGCATCCCAATGGTAGTGGGGACTATGGGCTCAACTCAAGTTCACAGAAGTCTAGGAGGGGAGCACCCTAGTGAACACTCACAACATGAGAAGCACAAACTTGTGCACATATCCAAGATGGAAATCTTGATTGATGTAGCCGGATGAGACTTCAGCCCCCATTGTGTTGTATAGAATGTGGTAAAGCAAACAGGAAAATGGAAAGAAGGACATATTACGTTGATTTGAATATCCAAGTTCTGTACTGTTTTGTTCAGTCTAGCTACAGTTCTTCTTCACACACACATGCACACACACACTCAGACACGTAGACAATCTCATGATTTGTGTTAAAGTCAGGTTTACTTACTTGGCAGGCAAACCTTTTTCTCTAACTTTGATTTTGATTTTTCTCATAATTTTTCTTTTCCATTTTTAATCATGATATTCAAGTTCCTTCACATCTGATTGTCCACAGAAACCACACTAAATAAGAAGCTGCAGAGAGTGATGGTGCTTGTTAGGGACTAAGGGCAATATGTACTTCTCCTTCATCCATAGCAATTCTCCAAGGGCACAATGATTTGTGTCAAAATAAATATCCAATTTCTTTTAGCATTCAGTAAAAAGATATCTCAGAAAACTTTGCGTTTTTAGAAAAACAATTGTAGGTTCCAATGACAGCCTGACCTCTTGATTACATTTGAGATAAACTTAATCATAATGGTCATTTGCTATTTTTGTAACCTTGTTATCATGTTGTCAGAAATATGTCATAAATGAAAGTGTTTTTCTTCACTGGGAAAAGAAGAGCTAGAAAGACCCAACTATTTAAATGTCACATTATTGTTTTCAATATATTAATACAAGGGAGTAATGTAAGACAAAGTTAATTTCAAATGAAGCCATGTCTTTAGGTTCAATATACCAGTTTGTGTCTGGACAGTGCTTGTTTGTCATGCTGGCACACTGAAATAGAATATTCTCTTGGTAGGAATTATTTATAATGCCCAGCACTCCTTGCTGCTGTGTATCTGTTGTCAATCAGAGAGTATATGTTATAGAAACTTACCCTTCTATTGTGTCTAAAAATAATGTTTACCAAGATGGGATGGAATATGTAAATTATAGAGTACAAAACGTGAAGGACAGGTAAAATTCAGTATACATTTAGTATCTTAAAAGTAACGGATTCTGATGGAGCTATTATTTATTTATGAAATCAGAACCTAAGGACAATGCAAGTCATTTTACCGTATCCTTACTCTAATTCTATGAACAGCATATCTAAGAGAGGGAGCAGTTTTCATCTTCAGAATTTGGTGGTATACATACATAATACTAGTTAATTCAAGCTTTCAGCGCTTTTTTAGTATTTATTTGTCAGGCATCAGAAAGGAAGAAAGCTGTTCAAAAGATGAAGGGTGCTCCTCAGGAACTTTATAGAGTTTACATAAATATCAACTTAATCTGTGAGTTAAATTCATTAATATTTTTTCTAACCATACACAGAAGGAGCAGGTTATTTTAGGCATTACATATGAATAAGTAAATGGGTTTTCAACTAATTTTAATTGTTCACCCCTTAAACCCTCAATGCCATGACTCTAGATACAGCTAACCAAGCATAACAGCAACAGTATTTTATAAAAGTACAAAATGCCATAAAAAGATACTGATATCAAAGTTACCTGGCAGAATTTAAAGCTTGCTTAATGGGTTCCCATTACAGTCTTGCATTGAAGAAGGAAATCAAAGCGAAGAGGATATCAGAAACCAGTTGTAGAAAGATCCTTTTACTGCACACATGAGGCTGATTTAAAAATTACATTTAATTTCATTTTATATATATATCTGTATGTGTATATATATATATATATCATATATATATATATAATGAAATAGCTATAGAACTAAATTTTGCTATTAATTTCATCAGGTAGATATGTGAACCACCTCAAATAATATAATTCAGTGGTAAGGTAAGTCTATTTGTTACCACATGAATTGTTTTAATTAAAGCTTGCATCTTCTCCATGGAGGCAATTGCAAAATTAATCACTAATGAGCCACAAACCCCCTAAAATAAGATTTTTAGATCTAGTTTTAGTAAGAGTATAGTACCCTTTATTGGGAGACAAATGAGAATAATAAATAAGAGAAATTTTATTACATTTTGAAAAATTCCTTCAAAGTGCTATGAGGTATTATAATAATTTCGTGGGTGAAACAAACATTTTTCTATAATATGATAATCCCAAAAACAGAAATTGAATCTGCAAGGTCAGAAATATTCTAGATCTATGAATTCTTCTTGACATCCTATAAACTGGCAGAGGTTGTAAAAAATTTGTAGCACAAAAATCTTTTGGCAGGCTCTAAACATGCAAGAGTTAAATCTTTTTCCTTTGAATGCATGACCATATATTTGTGTGTTAAGCCAATGAACTGAGTTTTCCAGCATAGTTCTAACGGTATACCAACTGCATTGTCATTCCATGTGTCAAGCCATGTGTCTGAAATTTGGATTCAAAAAATTTCTCAGTTGCCACAAATTTTTCCCAGTCAAGATGAAACACTTTCAAATGAAAGTAGTTAGAACTTTACATAACAAATGTGGTGCTTTATTATTATGTATTTCAGTGTTCATTATTAAAATACTGCAATACTATATCATTAAAATCTTGGATGGATGTTCCAGCTATCACAAGGTTCAAAAGAGAAAGTGTTATTTTCCTGTTAGTGACGTGTAGTCCCTTTGTTCTAGTAGAAAAACGGTGCCTAGAGGTAGAATATAGAGTAAATATTGCTCCATTAGCCTACTTCCTGCAGCTTCCAATTTATCTAAAGAAATGTCTATATCAATTTTGTTGAAAAGTCTTTGTTATAGTCAATAGCAGGAGAAGTCCACATTACTGGGCTGATTTTGCATATGTCGACAAGAGAAATGTCACGTGATACTCAGGCCGCGCTTTCTCTTCCATCATACACCTTTTAAGGAATGTCAATAAACTCACTTTGGTATGGCACTGTGTATGTTTATTATTGCAAAGGACAGTCTAGGCTAACATAACAATCTACATTATTCCTGTGATCTCACTGGACATAAGCAATAAGACAACACAGAAGGAGGGCTGGCGGAGTGGCTTACGTGATACAGCACCTGCCTAACAAAGCCTAGCAAGCATAAGGCACTGAGTTCAAGCCCTAGCACTGCTCCCCCCCAAAAAAGACAACACAGAAGGCTACCTACTGCTATAATTAACAATCCCTGAAAGAAAATTATTTCTCAAAGAAGCATAGTATACGCTCACAAATCCATGAATAAATTAGCAGCATTTATAACAAGTTTCTTGTGGATGCCTATTAGAATGCCACACAAATCACATAGGCTTTAGTTTTTTAATGTCCTTTATGTAGAACCAGGTAGACATTAGTTTATATGAAATCCTACCTGTTGAGATGCTCTACAAAGACTTCAAGCCATGACCTAATATCCATTGTGGCCCTGGGACAAGGGGTAGCACTAAACAAGGATGCTGTGCCTAATGCACACATCACAAATTTCCAATATCAAAATGGCATCACCTCCTTCCAGTCCTTCAAAAGACCAACCATGTGGTTTCTCACTGTATACTGACGTATTCTTTGAGGAAGAAAATTATTTATCAGGAAAAAGTAAGATTGAAAGAAGGAAAAATAGGAGGGGCTGACTGGAAGTCAGTGAGACACTTTGGTATTACACTTTTTTTCTGTAGTACTGGGGTTTGAACTCAGGGCCTCACACTTGCTAGGCAGGTGCTCTACCACTTGAGCTACTCCACCAGGCTGTATTATACTTTTACACACATGCTGGACTTGCTTCCTATTTGTTCTAATCAAAAGTGATGTTTCTCTTCAGGCATAAGAGAGAAATTAGACTAGACCATAATTTACAGACAGAAGTAGGTTATATTATTTTGTTTTAATCTGACCATTATTCTGAAATCAAGATTCAACTTTGGAGTTCCAGTTTTTTCTGGCCATATTTTTCCATGTAGTGTGTTGACTCTCATTCATTATTAAATTTTATGGGGGGAAAAGTGACACACACATCTTATATTCAAGATGTACTTTAAATATGTTTACAGAGGATGGTTCTGTAACAGGATAAACAAAGGGAGTCAATAATGAATGATCAGACTGACCTACATCAGGAGTCAGGAATTGTCAATTTTATGGTTGGGGATAGGACTTACTATTTTTGCCTGATTGGCTTATGTTAGAGGTGAAGAATCTGAGACAAGGAGAGTTGACTTGTTCAAGGCCACTAAGCTTTATCTTGGGAGCGTTAGCTCCTTTGTGACAGCATGTCCCATCACAAAATGCCCCTTGAAGTCTTGGGCTCCTGCAGTTGGCATTAACATTAGGATATTTGCCAAGATGGTAGATGAGGTGAGGAAATGGAAGCCAAGAATGTGCCATCAGGACACCAGGAGTCCACAACCTGTAATGCGTATTCACCAAAGAAGCCCCACTCTATGAGTTTGCTAGACTGCTGAAACAAAGTAACACAAAACAGGTTCCTTAAATAAGACAGCTTGTAGCTAGATCTCTGCCTTAGTGGTCATATCATGTACTTCCTTTCTTCCTCTGTGTGTGTGTGGGGGGGGGTGTTGGGTGTGTGTGTGTGTGTGTGTGTGTGTGTGTGTGTGTGTCCAAATTTCCCTTTTTATTGAGTATACTAGTCATAGGGAGTAGGACCATCTTAATGACTTCATTTTAATTTGATTAGCTCTATAAAGATTATAACTCCAAATTATGTCACATTCTGAAGTACTAGAATTGGGACTTCAACATATCTTCTCAATCCAGTAAAATCCTCCTTCTTGCCACCTTACAAACTTCCAATGGTAATAGTAATGATAATAAATGCTGGCATGCTTTTCACATACCACCCTGTGAAAAAGCTACTTTTATTACCTGTTTTACACTGAAAAACAAGACAAAACAAAACAAGGCATAAAGAGTTAATTAACATACCACAAGTCAGATCACTAGTAAATGAGATGGACAAGGTTTGCATCCAAGAAGTGTGGCTCCAAGGCCAAGCATCAGTCACTATTACACACTACATTTATTCAATTAACCATGTATTAAATTTAGGGAATGTTCCAAGATCCTTAGTGGATAGTCCAGAAGCCTAAATTTCTGATAACTAGACAGCTACTAGGTGACTAACGGGCAGGAAGTACATACAGCATGGATATGTTAGACAAAGCAATGCTTCACCTTCTGGGAAGGATGGAGCAGGACAACATGAAAGTTCATCATGCTACTCAGAACAAAGCATAATTTCAAACTGATTGTTTACTTCTAGTGTTTCCCTTCTGTTATTGACTATGTGTCACTGAAACTGCAGAAAGCAAAACCATGGCTAAGGTGAAACTACTGTATTTGTTGCATGTTGGGTCCAATGCTAGCACAGGAACCAGTGGCAGTCCTTCTTTCAGGGAGTTTATGGTCTGGCAAAATAATGCATTCTACTCCAGTTAAGATTTGGCCCCTGATTTAATCTGGATCTCTCTGCATCCCCAACCCACAACCTGGCTCCTGAGTATGATGTGGTACCATTCAAAAATAATAAATAACCAAAGTGCTACAGCAAAGGGAAACAGGAGCAATTGGCTCTGCTGGAGAGGAAGAATAGACAGAAATGAATTCATATGGAGACAGAATTGGAGCATGT